AATATATGAAAGTTTGATTTTTATCATTACATTATGGAAAATAATGACCTTTATCACAATATGCTAATTTTTTTAGAAGGACCTGTATATATATATATATATATATATATATATATATATATATATATATAGACAGTTTATTTTTTAACATTTGAAACATAGCTTGTCATTTTTGATTGACAGTTTCTAAAAGGCTGTGTGTTTGCTGCATTTGATTGTTTTCTTTGTATGCTTGAACTGTTAACATTCTTTACAGCCATGAAAAATGCTCCTAAGGCACTGAAAGGGACCTGTTACTTTAGGGATAATACCATCTGCAATTTGTGTGCTGTTCCTGGAAGGATGATCTGAATCTGTTGATGTTGCCTGGGATTTTGTGGGTGAATTTCTCCAGTCCCTTCTCCTTAAAAAAATGAATTTATTGTTCTTTTTTCATTTAATTTATACTGTTACAGTGACACAAGAACTGGACAAATGAAAACGTGATGTAAAAAAAAAAAAGAAAATAAATAATAAACTAAGGACCTTAGAAATATTGCTAGATATTTGTACCTCCTTTCAATATAAAACATTTTGAAAATTTAATTCACCTTTTAGGCAATAAAAGTTAAATGTGTAGAACAGTAAAGAAGACGGTAACGTCTGGGTGTTTAATAGTTACTGAAAAACTTGTAAATGCGTAAATTTAAAGCTGATGTAACATAACTGATATACTGTAATTTCACAGAATAAACAAAGTAGGCAACAAGGGGTCTCTGCAGGCAAATTCGGAAGGCGTATCTGGGCGCTCATATCTGATTGGACTATAGGAAAGTGGGCGTATCTGGGCGGTCATATCTGATTGGACGATAGGAAAATGGGCGTTTCTGGCCGGCCGGATCTGATTGGACGATAGGAAAATGGGCGTGTCCGGACGGCCACATCTGATTGGACGATAGAAAAATAGGCGTGTCTGGACGGCCACATCTGATTGGACGATAGAAAAAAAAAGACTGAACGATAAAATGCCGTAACCACAGACACATGATGTCTAAAAACAAGGTGTTATTGGCAGATTGTGTTAACCACAGGCATATTATGTCTATGGTGTTAACCGGTTCGACATTAGTGGCGTCTCGGTTCGACATCGCTCCAGTATACTGCTGCGGCGTCTCCATAACTTCTTTTTTCGACTCTCTTAACACAGAACTTCCGGTTACATTTCAAAATAAGAGCAACATAACTGGGTAGTGGGGAGAGCTAAATGTTAGGTTTTTTTTTAATACCTAGCCATAACATTAAAAAAACAAATTCCATTTTGGTTGTTGAAAAATGTGAACAAAGTTACAATCGATTCATAAAGAAAGAAAAATATTAATGATACTTAAACTGGCCTTGGGACAAAGGAGGTTTCCTTTAACTTCACATTTTCTTGTTCAACTTGCAGTCACTGCAGATGAGTGATTCTCAGGTTCTGTAAGATTTCTGCAACTGGAGCAGGTATTCTGTTTACTGGTTAACTTCCTCAGCTGTCTCACATTTTAAAGGTCAACCCTACTCCATGTTTCAGTAGAAAACCAGCACATTTAGGAGTCAGTACATAACCAGACTTTTGGCCCTCACACCTGTACCCAGTTGCTTATGCTGCATGATGAGATCAGATTTATCCATATTTTAGAAATTACATTTAGCTTAGTCGACAAAACAATACAAATGAAGACCGTCTTAAAAACCCTCTTGGTTTTGCAGTAAGCAGCCTGATTTCAAACTGACATCTTGGCCAAAGGTAAAATAAAAATCTTTGTGTTCTCAGAAAAGTTGTTTCAGGACCTCCAATAAACTTATGTACACATCAAAGCACACAAGACAGATTCAGGAATTGTCTTTGTTTTCCAGATTTCACATTTGTTATTACCTTAAAACATACTCAGACAACATTTGATGCATCATTGATTTTTTTTATTGTGTTTATTGGGACATCCATTTTTAGAAGTCATCGTAGCATCTGTTGGAAACACAGAACATAGTACAGTTAGAGTGTTGCTAGTTGTTACTTAATCCTGGATTGGATTTTAAAGTTAATTTTGATATTTTTTTCACAAGGAAAAAAAAAGTTGATTTCCTAAAGTTTAACTATAAATGAAGGAATTTGTGCATTCAGGTAATTTAAAATTAAGTAATTTCTCTAACATCCAACCCATTTTAGCCACTGAGCCATACCAAACACCCATAATCTATTCTTGAATGAATTATTGACTATTATTGACAAATTACAGACTTTTTATTGAATAAGTTATTACTCATTATTGAATCATTGACAATTTACACTCATGTTTGTGTTAACTCATGTTGCAACAAGGTCAGCAACTTTTGACTATTACTATGAACTATGTTAAACTTTGGAGGTGATTTATTTTGAAAGTCAACATCAGATGTTGGTCAACATTGTTGGGCAACATCTTGGGGTCTTCTAGAGTCAGTCTGAAGTGAGAGTGGTTCCTGACATGGCAGAAAGACATAGATATAATTAACAGCTTTTATTTATTTATTTTTCAGCTAATAACAACTTTTATTTATTTGTTTTTCATATTTTTCAGTTATACTCAGCTTTTAAATATTTATTTTTCAAGTATTAAGAACTTTAATTTTCAGCTTTTATTTTGAAAAGCAACACCCAGTTGTTGTAAACGTGCACAGTGAGAGCTGCTGTGGAGGCTCACTTTACCTCAGTGCGTTACGACAACAACGAGAGAACGGTCGAAACTATCGTGACCTACAATAAACGTACTTCAATAAAATGCATAAGTGAAAACATAACATACTTTATAAGTACAATAAACCATATTTCTTTGTCAAACATCGCAAAGAAACGTTACCTCATCAATAATCCTCGTGACTTTAAGGGTTACTCACAGCCAATCAGTGTTCGCCGCCGACAAACGCCTATTAAATACTGTTAGCCAATCACTCGCCAGAAACGCCCACTTTTGGTCTGCAGAGACCCCCTTCTCAAAGTAGGATTTATTCCGGAAACGTACTTTTCTGATCAGAGATAAAAGAAACAAAAAGAGTGCTCACTCTGTTACCTTTTTTTAAACAAACAATCCACGGGTTCGTTACAAGAGAGGACACCAACATTTGTCAACTTAAAAAAAAACCATGACCGCTTAATAAGATTCTTTGAATTAATCTGTGTTAGCTTGTATATGCGAGTGTTATTTTTTATTTGTCAAAAACTTGTTTACGTGTTTTGTTTTGTGTCAAAGAAAATACACCACTGTGTGCAGAAAAATTCATCTCACAGGAAACGATCTTCGCACGTTTTTAAGGTTTTATTGCGCATGCTCACAGCGCAATATCGACCTGTAACCAATAAGGAGCGGCCACAGTGTGTTTGGAAACAACGTACCTCCTCCTCTGAACACTCCTTTGAAAAGTGATACGGACATTTTAGACACATCACTCGCTGGAGTTTATCAGTCAATAAGGAAGGTCGGCATTTGTCTTTTCTGTCGGTAAACTGTTTCACAGAGCCCGTTTACTTCTGGCGAGTCTTATTGTTGTAAGTTGCCATCACCAGCTCGAGGTTACGTCGAGTGATAAGAGTTAAAATGGATGTAGATTCTGAACGAGAGACTACCAGTCTTCTTATTAAAACGCCCAACCAGGCTCAGGAGGACCAGACCATTGAAGGTGTCAGTCTGAAGTGGACCGTGAAGGAGCTGAAGAAGCACTTGTCGACTGTCTACCCAACTAAACCGGTGAGTTTTAACCAGTCGGCTAAATTAACCAACCGACGTTAGCGGAACTAGCTTGAAGCTACATGTTGTGGAATGTTCAAACATGCTAACAACAGCTGTCGGACATTCCCGTCCCTTATTACAGTTTGTTTGTGGTAAATTACTGTAGGAGTCGTTTTAACATTTCTTGCCCCAAAGCTAGCTGTTTGTGGACGTTACGTAGATTAAACTTTTCTCCACATGTTTAGGATTTAAGGAAATAAAGACAATGTACATGCAGGCAGTAGCAACATTTTATTTTCACTGTACATCAAATTGGCTCAAACATAAACCATAAAATGTAATATTAGGGTGCTATAGTTAAAAAGACAATTGGTTCAATTCCGTCTAATAATATAAATTATCCATTACAGTTTTCAGTATGATTTAGATTCAGATGAACGTTTATTTACATTGTTTTTTTCCAAATCTTGTCTGTTCACTGAAGTGCATCTGAACTATTTGAATGTCCTACCTGAAAAAACTTATAAATTATAAACTAAAGTTGAATAACTTGGGCAACATTCTTGCTTTTAGCACAAATCTAAGAAAGAAAACCAAAGGAACTGATATATATCCTGATGCATGCTCAATAATCCAGGTTGAAAAATGAAGGTTAAGTCAGGTCCTCTGGAAGGATTCTTCTTTGTTGGAACGCTTCATCTTTTATCCAAAAGACTTCTTCAGTCTGAGACCATGCATTAAACTCAGTCTTATAAATAGCCCCTTTTCATAGTGGATCAACCTGTTTGCTGCTGACACCCAGAAGTAGCTATTCACATGTAAAAGGAGGACCGTCAGTTTAACAATGGATTGTTAGAGCCCTAGCAATTGGTCGTTAGTGCCCCCATGGCTGCTTGCTATTCACAGGGGGCTGAGTGATGCAATAACATCATTGTAAGAGGATGATAGTTGAACGTGGAAACCCCCGTCCCTGTTTAACAAAAGGCGGGATGGCTTCAAGACAGCTTTGTCATCTCGCTCATCTTTGTGAAGATGAGAGAGGAGTAAAGGAAGCCATCTTTGTGAAGAGAACCCGTCCATTGTTAAACAGGTTCAAGGTTCTTTATTGTGATTTTCATCACATGTGGTACATGAGCTGGAATGAAATTGTGTACTCAATGTTCCAGTTACACCCAAAAATAGCAAAAATGCAAAATATAAAAAGAAACTGTATATAAGGATCTAAGAAATATGCTAAACAATACGCTAAAAGATCTAAGATATTCAAGGATTCAAGGTTCTTTGTCATTCGCACCCCAACTGGTACATGTGGTGGAACAAAATTATGTACACAGGGTCCCAGTTACATCCAACAATAAAATGTAAAAGAAAAACCGTAATAAGATCTAAGATATGAACTAAGAAAAACATCAACTAAATAGACGCTAAGCACTAGTAGCATAAAAACATTACGCCGAACAGCAGCACGAACATGAGTCTGTGTGAGCAGATGAGCATGCGTGAGCACATCGACATGAAACGGATCAGCAGCAACATGATGTACTTTTTTTCAGTTATCCTGGTTAGATATTCATGAGTCTAATAGCCTCAGGGTAGAAGCTGTTCCCATATAAGCTAAACACTAATAATTAAAAATAATATGGTATATTCAACAGCAGCCCGAACCTGAATCTGTTGTGAGCAGATGGATATGAACAGGGGCGGGAGTCTCCGCGTTCAACCAACGCCCTCTTACAATGCTGTTATTGCAAGTATCACTTAGCCCCCTGTGAATAGCAAGTGGCCATCAGGGCACTAACGACCAAATGTTAGGCTGATGGTCCTCCTTTTATCATGTGAACAGCTAGTTCTGGCTGTCAGCAGCAAACTAGTTGATCCACTATGATGAGATATTTATACAACTGAGCTTATTGCAGCTTCTCTGACTGAAGAGGTTTTTTTTGGATAAAAGACGAAATGTTTCAACAAGAAGAATCCGTCCAGAGAACCCAACTTAACTTGTTAGATTCATGATTAGATCTTTTTTAAGTTTAGATACCAGGCCAGGGCTGTTATTACTCCAATACAGCTGTTTCTATTATTTAAAGCTGCTTATTTCATAGTTATCAGAGTCATGAAAGAGTTTGACATTTCTATGTGTCAAGAATGTGCAGCATTCTTTCAGACTGTGACTGAGCTGATGGAGAGTGAAGAATGAGCAGAGGGTTTATGCTTCAGGGAGACAAGTGGGTGCCGTTAACAGATGAGCTGTGGCCGAGCATGAAAGGTTGTAGTTAAAGAGAAAAACCTGGTTTCCCTGTAAAGTCAATGATTATCAAAACTATCTAATCTCTGGGAAATTTTCCATGTGTTTTTTTCGTTTGGCTTTCTCAATCAGCATTATGAAACAAGTGGCTCTTCAGTGCCATGTTTATTTGGATTGCATGTATGAAAGCCAGACGACAAAGGAAAATTCACCCTGACAATAAGAAATAAAGTGACCTAAATTAGTTTAGGCTTGTTACAAGAACAGCTAATTGTTCAACTGAAAATGTTTGAGAAAATCTTCATGTCTGAATCATGACGTCATTGACCTTTTGTAGAAACAATTTGGGGCACCTGTAAACTGGCTTATAGTAGTAACACACAATCTTGGTGTTGCATGATAAGCATGAAATAACTAAACGCGTCAGAAAAATCAAAATTTTAACATTCATTAAGAGTAAGAACTACGAATATTAACACCTGAAAAAAATTAACCTATGTGTATTATTTTGTTACCAACAGCAATGTCCCATTCTTGAAGCTACCTAAAATGTCATTCATCACTGCGAATGTTAAAATGAAACCAAGCTGGTCAATTCACTGATCCACAGTTTAGCTTTTGTTTCACTAAACCCAACTTGTTTGTTTTAAGGCTGTGACTGATCAGAGGCTGATCTTCGCTGGTAAACTGCTGCCTGATCATCTGCATATCAAAGATCTCTTCAGACAGGTGTGTATGCAGTGGTTTTGTTTTCCCCTGCAGTCTAGAGTCTCCCTGAAGGAGACTGTCAGGTTTAACACAAACTTTCACTTATTAAATGTTGAACGTTACTAATTTGCTAAACTGGTGACCATTTTAGCCTCAGTTTGTCTACTTTTAAAAATCAATATCTGTCTGGTAATGAATGACTTTAAATATTTTCATGGACTGTGAAGAGGTTTTTATGCTTCATAAATGTAGAACAAGATAATATTGCTTTTTTTTGGTTTGTTTTTTTGTTCCTGAATTTTGTCTCCAAGTCCCAGCAGAAGCTCTTACTGTTACAGATGCACCAGTTGTAAGACAACACCAGTCACTTATTACCAAGAGTTGACAAAGAGATTACTTCACCTGCTGTGTGGCTCAGTTACTGGCAAACATAATTACCAAACTAACCAACCTTTTTTCCAACAGCTTGTTATAAAAGTTTGGTGTAAAGCAGAGGAGTTGACCAGAAAAACTTAGTTTCACTCAGACCAATGCAAATATACAAGGTGTAGCTCAGCTTCCACGGAAAATAAAACCACGAGACATCAGCAGAGTGTTCAGTAAACACAAACTAAGCCTGGCTAAGGCTGCATGCAAATAGTGCAAATAAAAATGAAAAGTCAGCGCTGGCGTAGTAATACCTCACACTGAAGTTTTAAGAAACATTAAATTTGTTTAGCAAATTGTATCAGGAAACGCAAAGGCCTGCTGTGCTTAAGCTGCTTAACCTTTTGTCTGGGTAAAGTAAAATGTTCCTGAAAACTGAGTGCAAAGTTTGACAACTTGGACAGCAACAGACCAGTTTAGATTCTGAAGTAATGTTTTGTTTATGGTACAGGTGAGTACAGCGGTGACATCACGGTGATCGTTGAAGGTTGTAGTTTAGATGAAGTTTGTCCTCCTTGCCTTGAGACAACTTTGCACTTAAATATCCTTGTAAATGTTGTTTGAACAATCCATGGGGCAGAACAAACCCTGTTCTGCTGTTTAAAGTTGAGTTCTCAGCTTCACTTGTAGATATTTGGGTTTTTGGTATATACATGCAGGCTTACTTGCTGTATGTTTTATGTTGTTTTTTTACCTGCATTTTCTCTTTTCCAGATCGGCACCACTCCCACGCTGCATCTGGTTTGTCCTATGAGGAATCCACCCCAAGGATCAGCTGGAGCTAAGGTGAACATTCATTAAAAACCTGAGTGAGAGGTTTTCTTCTTCTTGTGGGGTTTTGTTTGTTGTTGTTTTTTCTTTTTTTCTACAGCGTCATTGATAATTACACAGCTGGGTTTAAGGACTGAGCAAACTGATTTTTCTGACAAACTTGGTGTGATTTGATAAAATAAAATGCATATAAACTCTGAAAGCAGCAGAACTTCGATGATTTCAAGTTTATTCAGAGTTGGAATATAAAGTTAAGCACATGTCGTTTCTGTAAAAGCTTACATCAGTTGTTAAAATAATTGTATTTTTAGTGATTCTCCCCCACCACCCTCTCTTCACATGTGGTTACAAGTGGCTATAACCAGTTCCAGGTTGAGTTTCACAGTTTTAAAAGGAGCTTTGTTTAGATCCTAAACTTTTATTTACCCTTTATTTATACAGGTAGTCTCATTGAGTCACGAGGACTCATTTTCAAGAGAGACGTGTTGGGAGCATGGAGGTTAAGGGCCTTGCTCAAGGGCCCAGAGTGGGTCAAATGAGGGTGGAGGCAGGTGTGGGTGCTTCACCTTTTCTACCCACATTTTGATGATGTTGGTCCGGGGAGTTGAACCTGCTACTTTCTGATCACATGCCCATCTTCTCTAACCTCTGCGCCACTACTCCCCAGAAATGCTCCTATCTTAACAAAAATGAGTGTTCACTGAAACTTTTGTGGGTTTTATTTTCAAATTGTGACGAACTGTAAGCAAAGCAGGAGTTTCAGTTGGTTTGAGTTTCATTTGTTTTACATATTCAACTTCCTCGTTTCAAATCAAATAGTTTTTTTTTTGTTGTTGTTAAAACTCCATTTTAAATTTATTTTAAGTTAATTTACAGTTCATTTGTGTAATTTATCTTTTTTTTTTTTTTTGTAAACATTTATTGGCTTTATTGTTCGTTTTTAGAAATTTGTGGGAGCCATTTTTTAGAAACTGGTTAGAACTTTTACCACCGTATTAAACAAACTGCGTTGGAAATCACTGAGCTGCAGGTGCACTCCTTCATGTTCTCCTTCATCACCAAAAGGCTGTGAAGTGGAACTGTTCCACTTCAGCTGTCATCCTTAAGAACCCAGCAACAGTTTCAAGATCACAGCTAAAGATCCACACACATGATTTATTTAAAATATGTTCTGCTTTAGCTAACCCGTAAAACCTCTGGTAAAACTCATCCATAGAGTTGTCTTTTTTTTTAATTATTATTTCCTCTGCAGACCAGAAAGACAGAACAACCACATCCCTCCAGTCCAAGGCCCACTTCAGCTTCATCTGTCCAGAGTCAGAGCACACCAGAACTGAGGCAGAGGAGGGAGACCTCTTCATCCTCATCTGCTACCACAGCAGCTCCACAGGAACCTCCTGCATGGGCCCCGACAGCAATGTAAGCTATAAAGGAAGAACCTGAAATGAGTTAGAACATTTTTTAATCAGGGTACAAGTGAAATACTACAAGATGGTGATGCAAAAATGAATATTCTTCTATTTTTTTTAAACTAATTGCATCAAAAAGGAGCTATTTTAATATTCAACTTTAAAAGAAAACAAACTTGTGACGTTTGTCATTTGTGCCTCAAACGTGACAGATTCCCCTCTTTACTTTCCTTTGTAGCGCTCCCTGTCACGTAGTTCGATGTTTTACTGAAATCGCTGTAGGACTGAGTGAACTTGTTTTTTTTTTCTTCTTCTGAATTTAGGGCTTCCATTCAAGAATTAGAACCAGAAAGTTGAGTTTTGTAATAAGAACTGATGCCTTGTGTGTGGGTTGAGTGTTACATTTATCTGCTCTCTGTGGTACAGTATTTATTAAAGGGTTTCAGTGCAGTCGTTTTAACTTCAGGCTGACATGGAAAGAAGTATTCAGAGGCTTAAAGAGGCAGTTTTCTCATCTTTTGTTGAATCTATTCTCAGACTGTTTTTACTGGACATATTCAGAGATTCTGTTTCTTTGCAGGACTGGAGCATCACAGTTGACCCATCCAGCCTTTCCCGCCTTATCCCTGTACAGCCCTCAGCAGCTGCTGTGGCTCCAGCATGTCTATGCGAGACAATATTACATGCAGTAGTAGGTGTTTTATTGATATGCTTAAGCAAAAAAATAAATGTCTCTCTTTGAATTTATCTTTTGTAAACTCTTACCTACTTTTACTTCCACAGTCATGCAGCTCTGGCAGCAGCAGGCTCTGTTCCCTCAGCGCCTGCAACAACCGTTGGTCAGTACCCACCTGTTCCCGCACACCAAGTTCCCGTCCCAGCCCCCATAGCCAATCAGAACCCCATCGACAACCTGCCGGCCAATCAGAACCCGGTGCAGGACGGCGCCTTCATCAACCCAGGGGAGGCGAACCAGAACATGCGTATGAACGCGCAGGGCGGGCCTGTGATGGAGGATGAGGAGGACCTGGAGCGCGACTGGCTGGACTGGTTGTACTCGGCGGCGAGACTTGGAGTTCTGCTCATGATTGTGTACTTCAACTCCAACCTGAGTCGCTTCCTGCTGGTGATGAGCACGCTCTTCCTCATGTACTTGTAAGTTCAAACAGCTGCTTCCTGTTTTTTTTTTTTTTTTTTTTTTTTTTTTTTTTTGCTTGGTTATCAACATTACACAAAATGCTAAAGCACCTCCTTTTACATGAAAAAAACCTAAACTATATATTGTTTTCCTTTAACATTTCCCCTGATTTCTTTTGAACTGTTATGTAAAGGCATGGATATTACCATACCATTTTATTTATAGAGCACTTAAAACAGCGACAAGGCCAACCAAAGTGCTGTACAGCCAGAGCAACAGACAACACACAAAGCAATGTACAAAATGAATAAATCAGAATTAGAGCATTTTTAAATGGAAGTCTGACTTAAAAACAAAATGCATGTATAAATGTTAATCTGTTTCTGTGAATTTATGATTTATTTAAAGTAAAATATATATTTTTAAAATGTTAAATGACTTCCCTTAAAAGCCGACCTGCCCTTATCAGCCTTGCTTGATTTAATTACAGATTTCCAGCAAATTAAACTCTGAACTGAAAACTCCTGTAACACTGAAATTTACTATAAGGACAAAGTTTTTTTTGTGCATTTATTCTTTAAATCAACTCCATGCATTGTTTAACAATCAATATTCTTGTCGTTCTACTTTTGAGAGAAGTTGCAGATGCATTAAAGTAGGATGTCTGTTTCAGTCTATACAAGCCACACAGCAACAGTAAAGACTATTCTGTTCTGTTCTATTCTAAAACTGTTCTGGAGAGGTGGTGGCCCAAAACTTAGACTTCATGTTGGGGTTTTCTCTCTGAACATGACCAGCAGGGGGTGTTCAGTGAAATGTCAGCTGTTCAGGAGCTCATGATTGTGTAAATACTTCAGGATGTCTCCTTGAATCCTGTCACAAGGTGTCAGGGACCACTTTACAGCTGAAAGTTATAAAGTTTTATAAATCAACCAAATAACTCTTTTGAAATTTCATATTATTAGCATTGATTGTGTAATGTGTATTAAATGTTTAGTGTAACAGTTCTCAACTCTTAAACCCTTTCTGCTGACTTCAGCACAGAGTTTTGTTTGTGTGACACAATTTTATCGTCAAAACCTTTTTATTACTCCTGCGTGCTCTGGGTTTTCGATATGGTGCATTTAGCAGCTACAGATCTAAAGAATAAATCACACGAGTAAAAGAAATGCTGATACAGAATGAGACTGAGTCTCAAGTGAAAACTCGTGAAAGCACAGTCAGCTGAGATTATAACGCTGTATGAGTGTAAACTCTGTCATATTGCTTAAACACGTAAATGTAATCCTATTAATTCATTCAACCTTTATTTAGACAATGTTATTCTCTTTAGGATAAAAGTTTAGTCTAACTTTAGGTTTTGGCCGTTTCAAAATGTCGTTTTTGCTTCATGTGTTAGTTTCTTGTTGTCCGATCATTTGTTTCAAACGTTTTGATCCTAACGGATACGTTTCTTCTCTTCTTGCCCGCAGACACACTGCTGGCTGGTTTCCCTTCAGAAGGAGGGCTCCAGTTCAGGGACCCAACAATCTGCAGCCCCCCGAAGTCCAACACAACCAGCTGAACGAAAACGGGAACGCAGAACCGACTCCAGTAAGAAACCCAGCTGAGACTCTCATCTGTATTAATTCTTATTTATGCTGATCTGATCCATAACCGGCATATTTTCTTTAAAATACGTCTAATCTCAGTGAAGTTGACTGAATAATAATCTGTTGGCTCTTCGTCTTCAGGCAGACGGGCCAGCTGACGAACAGATGGAAGAACCTGCAGCTGAAGGATCAGAGGAACCAATGACTGCAGTTTTAGTGCCTTCTCACCGGGTGTCAGTGGTGTGGTCAGCCTGGGTGTTCTTGAAAACATTTTTCTCCTCCCTCATACCCGAGGTTCCTCAGGGTTTGGCCAACTGAGCACCCGGGACGGTCGCCTGATGGAGACTAGAGCCTCCCTAGAACAACAAACCATCAAGACGAGCTGCGGTGTGCCGGTGATTGTTTCTGTGAGAGGGAAAACGAAAGAAAGCAGCCTTTAAATGACCAGTACTGTGGACCGTAACGAAGGACAAAAACACCATCACTGTACCCAACAGTTCCCGGTTCCTGGTTTAAGTTTTGGTCCCACCCTCATGTTTGTGTGCAGCAGCGCGAGGCCTTACACGACACAGACGGTGAATCTGGTTCCCACCTCACTGTTTGCATGTGTCTGGTCTGTTAAAGTTGGTTTCTGACTCTGGAGGCAAAGCAGACAAACAATGTTTAAATAGTGGGATTAGAATAATACCCAAGAGGAAACTGACTTTAAAGCACTGAAAATAGTTCAGTGACTTTTACAGTCAGGACAGAAATATGAATCCATGTTTTATTTGACTTTTATATAAGATTGTTCTAATTAACAGAACAAGGAGTTTAAGTAAGTTTAAGTAGCGTTATGTACAAGAAAACCTGTTGTTCCAAACGGAAATGTTCTTTTCTCACCTGTTCTTCCCAGCTCTGCTTTAGGTGGATTCTTCTTTTATTGGAGAGGTTTTGTGATCAAGTATTTCTGCCAAAACACTTTGTACAAGAGTCAGGAATGCGTGGTTAAAACAGAACGTTTTGTAAATATATTGTACGTGCACAAAGCACTTTATAACATTTATCTTATGCAAGCTTAGAATAATAATGGGGCTTGACTTATAGTTGATGTAAACATATAAATAAACCTGTAAGGGCTCAAAAGTGTTTTTAGTTATTGCAGAGGTGAATTAAGTTTAAATTAAAAGTCAAGTCTAAAATTATAATAACTTGGAGGGAAAAGGTTATCCATATAATTTTAATTAAGTCTCAGTGGCTTTTTGTTTTAATTTAAAATGATTTATTAAACATTCCAGATTATGGAGTAAGTGTTCTAATAAAACTGAACCACACCATTCATTTCTGCACCTGTTTTTATCTCATGGTGTTGCATGAGGATCTTATTTAATTAGACCAGGATGACTTTGGTTCTGTAACTGTTGAATCTGGGTTTTTACACGTTTACAGATGGAAAGGCTGTAAAAGAAGAGGTGAAAGTAATCCTGTAATCCAGAATATTTTCTGTAATTATTTAATGCTGTAAAGTTCTTTTTCCCTTCAAATAAAAGGACTGATTATTACATTGGACATTGTTTAATTGAATATTTAAATGTATAATGTTTATCTGTGAGAGTTGCTCATGCTGTACAAAAATACTAGTCCATCCATCATCATCATCTTCTGCTTGTTCTGAAGTCGGGTCGTGGGAGCAGCAGCTTGAGCAGGGAGGCCCAGACATCTCTTTCCACTGTCACCTCTTCTGGGAGGACTCCAAGGCGTTCCCAAGCCAACCGAGAGACTCCAGCATGTCCTGGATCTCCTCCCAGTTGGACATGCCTGAAGCACCTCCCTAGGAATGCACCCAGGGAGCATCCTTAGCAGATGCCCAAACCACCTCACCTGGCTCCTCGATGTGGAGGAGCAGCGGTTTTATTCTGAGTCTCTCTTGGACAACTGAACTTCTCACCTAATCTCCAAGGGAGAATCCAGCTACCCTGTAGAGGAAACTCTTTTTAACCACCTGTTTCTGCAATCTCGGTCCTGTGATGGACTTGCGACCCATCCAGGGTGTACCTCGCACAGCGATTGCTGGACATGGGCACCCGTGACCCAAAATGGAAGAAGTGGGTAAAAGATAATGGATGATTCTCATCCCAGCCCCTTCACACTCTTCTGTGAACCTCTCCAGTGAGAGCTGAAGATCGCGGCACGATGGCGCCAACAGGACCACATCAGCTGCAAAGAGCAGAGATGGAATCCTGAGGCCACTGAACCAGAATCCCTCCGACCCCTGGCTGCACCGAGAAACTCTGTCCATGAAACAACAAAAGTCCATGCTCAATCCCGTTTAAAAACTCACTACTATTCAGTAGCTATCAACACCAGAGGATCTGTGTTTTGAACCTGTACGCTCCACACTGGTTTGTCATCATATTTATTATCTGCATTGTTTTTATATCTATATTTTTGATTTACTTCATTTTGTATATTACTTCATGTGTTGTCTGTTGTTCTGTCTGTACAGCACTTTGGTTGGCCTTGTAGCTGTTTTAAGTGCTCTATAAATAAAATGGTATGGTAATAATCCAGGTATAAAATCCAACATTTTTCAGTCAGGTCATCTGGACTGTTTCTTTTTTTTTGCTGAAACATTTCGCCTTCGATCCGGAAGGCTTCATCAGTCAAGGAAACGCACAACAAAACTGATTCTTCCTCCAACAGCTTACTCCAAAGTGGAACAAACCAGTTCTGCTTGTGATTAGATGGTCTCTTTGGTACGCCCCTCCTCCATTGCCGGCCCTCTTCCTTGTTGACAGTTTTGTCGAACTGGTTGAAAACAACAAAGTTCAACTCTGTCCATGAAAGTGTAGATGAACATATGCTGATATATATTCATAAATTAAACGGATTCTTTCATTTTTCTGGACTGAATAATGTCGTGCATTGAATTATTAAAAATGTAACGTGAGACGTTAATTATCTTTGACCCATCAAAATGAACGTGGTCATTTATTTTCAGAATCAAAATTTAACATCACACATTTACATTAATTTGGCAAATGATTTCAACAACAACATGGCTAATTTAGCAAGCTGTACAATTTGATTAACCATACGGCGATGGTTTTCTCTCTTCACAACAGACATTTCTGAAAAATATCTGGAATGATTTCTAGCAAAAATAAGAATTTTAAAGATGGAAATTGAAGTTTAAGTTGAGAGAGATGGGTGAGGGAATTTGTCTGTTATAACCAGAACAACACGCTCCTTTGGACCAGCTTAACCCAACGGTACACTTTGGTTGAGATGGACTCTTTACCTTTGCAGATGATAGTTTCAGCGTTGGTGTAGAGCTTTCCGTTCAACTCTTCCAGCGTCTCCGTAAGAACAGCTAAACCTCAGGAGTCGTGAGATCATCCAGAACAGACATTTCATAATTCCCCTGATCTTCTCTCGTTCAGCTTATTTTTCTTCCTCCAGCATCCTGAATTCCAGCCTTCTGAACTCTGGAACTGCTGTCGGAACCAACTCACAGCATTCTCTCAGCGTTCTCCTCAGCGTTCTTCCCAGAACTGCTGAGAGCTTCTCAGAGCTCCTCAGAACTCGACTGGAGCTGGAACCTCTGTAGAACATGTTAACTAGGAAGTGTTGCACCTTTTAAAAGAGCTCACTTCCGGTTCATTTGAGCACTTTCTGATTGGTCGATGGACCAAAACAGAGGTGTGTTTTGTGATGTAAGAGGTTATTAAAAGTCAAGGAAAAAGATTAAGATTGTTTAAGAACAGACAGAAGATATTATGAAGAACTCAGACTTCGTGGAGTCAATTCTCTAGTATCTTGCTGTAAAAGTTAAACATGACATTTCTTTTTCAGTAAACTTGCAGTTGACCGAAACTTGAACTTTGACCAACTTACACAACTTGCTCATTGAAGACAGAAAATCAGACAATGCATCATTAACCTGATTTCTACTTTGAATGAGGATTAACAATCATTATTACTGTTTCACAGTTGATTAAAAATGGTTAGTTCACTTCAACATTTGAAAATGGTTTGAACTAACACAATTTGATTATCAAAACATTTGTAAAATAGTAATGATAATAGAAAAAGAGAGTGTTCTTTCAATTGATCAGTGCAGGACACCCAGAAAGTCTCTGGACGAACTTAATCTTGTGTTTCTGGACTCAAATCAATGAAATACAGTTCTTGTTCCAGGAAGGCCCCTCAAGGCCAGATTTGACCTGAGGCTTAGTTCACTACAAAAGTTATGAACAGAATCGGTGACAACGGGCAGCCCTGGAGGAGTCCAACTCCCACTCTGAAGGGGTCCGACCTGCTAGTTGCAATGCGAACCAAACTCTCGCACTGCTTGTATAGGGACTGAACAGCCCGTAACAACGGGCCCCCAATCCCTTACTCACGGAGCACCCCCCACAGTGTACCCCGAGGAACTCGGTCAAAGCCTTTTCCAAGTCCTGAAGTCTGCAAAAACACTAGTGTTGATGGGCATTGACAATAATGGCTGCAACAAATGTTTGATGATACTGTATTTTGTTAATGTCACCTGCTGCGAGCTGAGGAGGTGACGACAAAAGATTTAGTCTGTTAGCAAAATATCTCACAAACCGCTAGATGAATTTGCATAAACCTTGTAAGAAAGTAATTTTCAGATGTTCATCAGAGTACTTTAAGTCAGTTTAATTTCAAACGGCTGCCACAGCTAGCTGATGTTAGCCAATATAACTAAAACTCATTTTTTTCCTACATTGGTCTAAAATAAAATGTAGTAGTAGCTGAGAGTCAACACATGTTGCTTGAGTTTATTCACCTAATCTTTTTGTCACAGGAAAAGTCACTGCAGGGCACAAGAGCGTGACCTTTGACCTTTAACTCAGTAGCCGAAGTGGCTTCTTTAAACAAATATCCGTATTTACAGCTGGTGTTAGCATGTACAGCTGTGGTCAAAAGGCCGTGACGGAATTCTTCATGAAAAACTTGAACGACAGCTAAATTTCAGGACTGGGAAACGTGGTTCCTCCCTTCAGTCTAACATTCAGACCAAACGCAGCTCATTCAGCTGGGCATGAATAGTCCGATTCAACTCCTGTATCGAGTTTCACTGTGAGCCTCGACATGTTCAAACTGCGCTCGGAGAAAGTTCAACCAGAACATCTTGATATGTGTCACATGGGCAGAGCGGAGAAACCATCATCAGTTTTAGACGATTTCTGGCCAAATTTAAAGACTCTTGTGAGGTATGTACTGTTATAATAGGCCTCTGATTATATATATATATATATATATATATAAGCCTGCTGAGTTGAAACAAACACCTTTTACTTGTGTGTTGAATTAACAAACTTCAGCTTGTGTTTCTAGCAGAGATTGTGTAGTTCCTCTGTCAGGGAACTTATTGTACTTTGACCTGTGTTTTTTTTGGGGGGGGGGGGGGACAGAATCTCTAGTGTTTGTTCCTTTTCTCCGAGAGTGAAACGCACCAGTTGTCTGTCTCTGATTGGATGAATAACCATGTTTTTCAGCTGATAGCTGTCGTACACTGACCCCTTCATGACTGCGGCTTCAAAGGAGCAGAAAATTCAGTTTTGACAGTCCTAGAGCTGCAAGGGAGTAAAGAACCAACACTTAAAGAGGAACGATGCCTGGTGATGGTTTCCAACCTCTGCTGCTGCTGCTGCTGCTCCTGTCCATGTTTGGGCCAACCCACAGCTGCCTGAAGGACCCAGCCTTAGCCTACAAATTCACAGGAATTGTGTGCAGGCTCACCTACGATGCTGCTGCTGTGTGTGAGTACTGAGCTCCTTATTCATTTGGTTCAAAGCAGCCCACGTCTTACAAACTGTCCTCGTTCGTCGATACAAATCTGTTTCAGGTGATTTGACTGGAAGTAGTCTGTGTATTTCAAAATGTTTGGACATTGGCTGCCTGTCATACAGGACATCAGCAGGTCTGCTGATAATTCTGTCAAACATCTGAACCATATTATTTTGACATTAGCGCGGTTCAGAGACAGTTGAGTTGTATTTCTAAGGTTATCTCCTGATAAGTTGAAGTTCCTCAAAAGATATGAGAGAAATAAAAGCATGTATACAGTGATTGGTGACGTCACAGAGCTCAGTTTTAGTGTAAAATTTAACTTGTAAAAGTCCACAATGAGCTGACTGCCAAGTTCTCTTCACAGCTTCATTGTGAGTGTAAGTTACACTCACAATTTGTGTGTGTTTGTACCATATTTTCCTCCGTACATGTCGCACCGCCCTATAAGCCGCATCAGTCCATATTTGTCTAATAAAGTGGAAAAACCCAAAAATATGTTGCTTCGCCGTATACATCGCATCTATTATGCGTCACCGTTGACAATCTGGAAATGTGTACCGGTGTTGTGCCATAAATTGATGGGCTGCCAAATGACGGCTGCGGGAGCGTGCAAAAAAAAAACAAAAAAAACATAAAACCACTAGCACTGTGTAAGTTTTTAATTTTACTCCAGTTGTGTTCAAGGCAGAAATAAAATCCAGATATATTTTCACGATAATGACATAAACGAGGAAAGGAAGTTCCTGTTAGGTTGCATTTCTGTGTCGTAGTACAGCTTTTCTTACTTTAGATGTGTGCTCAGTTAAGTTAAATGTAGTTTAGATACCAGCACAGAAGCAAAAACTGTTACAATATTGTAGAGAGGTTTATGTAACCCCCCCCCCCCCCCCCCCTTTGTGTGCTGTCTCCGTGTACATGTCTTTTTACATCTGTTGCTTTAGTGAACGAGAAAACCACCAAAGTGATCGAGGCAGCGTTTCAACACGCTCGCTACCCGAGCATGCAGGGAGAGAAGTCCCTCCTGGTCGTCGGCAGAGTCCTGTACGGCCTGGACAAGTAGGTAAACACAAACAAAATGTACAGCAACCCAACATGGCCACTCAGGATGTTCCTGTTTCAGTTTGGAGATCCACAACTTGTCGATTGGTCGAAGTGCCTTCGAGCTGCGTCCAGGGGAAGGGATCGGTCTGGAGATAAGTAATGTGTCGGCAGTGTTCAGTGGGACCATCAAGTATGGATACGGCAGCTGGCTGTGAGTAAGAGTGTGTGACCCACAACAACCTACATCCCAGTTTTCACGACATTTATAAAACAGAATAAAACACAAGCCAAACAAATTCACCAGAATATCCCGTTTATAAACTGGTTTGTGAACACTGGAGGAAAAAATGAGCTTTGCAACATTAAACGAGAGAAATTGAATTTTCTGCATAAAGGCAGTGTGAATGCTAAGTGCTGAAAATTATAACAAGCTAAACAAAAACTACAGTTAGTTCAATTCAGTGTGCCATCGTGTTCTGAGCAAATCAGTAGTTTTTGTTTTACGAATAGCTGAAAAGTGCTGAAGTAGATATTGTCCACGAAAATTACAAAGAAATGAGATTTTGAGGATTTTAGAGGTAGGATAAGCATTATAATTTTCTGTACTCGTGGAAACGAAAGAAAGTTTGCTTTATTTTAAAATGTAATCTTTAGGACTGTGCCAAAGAAAATGTCCTCACCAAATGTTTCTGTTTGGATCTTGTCTGCACCCAGTGGTTTAAGATGAACTGGATATTTTGGTATACTTGATGATTTGGTTATAAATTGCACTCACTGTATCTGAACCAAATAAAAGAGAAATAAATGTATCAACGTTAATATTTCTTGTGGGTTTTTTTTTTCTTTTCTTTTGTCTAGAGTCAATGTTCAACAGAGTCTTGATTTTGAGATCGAGACTCAGATTGATCTTGGAATCAACCCAAAACTTTGTAAGTAACTTGTGTTTTCTGTGTAACTGAGTACAACTTCAAAGTTCCCGCTTTACTTAAATTAGTTCACCGAATTTTATTTTGCTCTTCACCTTAGCTAGATTTTAGTCATTGTTTAATTTGTTTTGTCCTTTTGAACTACAAGTTTTCACATTAGGAATTTTGACTTTTGATATTCTGCTCAACTTTTATAGGCTTATGTTGTTATTGTTGACACGTGTGCAGTGAGATAGTGTTTATGTGATTATCCAACAAAGTTAAGTCAGATCATCTGGACGGTTTCTTTTTTTGTTGAGACGTTTTTTCCTTCAGTCCGAGGAGCCACAACAAACTCTGTCCCATATGTAGCACACTCACATAGTGGGCCGGCCAGTTTGCTGGTGATAAGATGGTTTCTAGGGCCCGCCCTCTCCCCCATCAACTCCTCTGAGGCAGCCATGGCCAAAGTGGTTCAAAACATCAAGGTTCATGCTCAATAATCCAGGTAAAAAAATTCGGCAAAGTTAAGTTAGGTCCTCTGAACAGTTTCTTTCATTTTTGTTGTCGTTGAGACGTTTTGTCCTTCATCCAAAGGACTTCATCAGTCCAAGGATGAGGAGCCACAACAAATTCAGTCCCACAAGCAGCACAGTCACATATGATAGACGTTTCAAGACGAAATGTCTCAACAAAAAATGAAACCGTCCAGATGACCTGACTTAACATTGCTGGATTTCTTTTTTACCTGGATTATTGAGCATGGGCTTTGATGTTTTGAACCACTTTGGCCATGGCTGCCTAAGAGGAGTTGACGGGGGAGAGGATGGACTCCAGCAACCATCTTATCACCAGCAAACTGGCTGGCCCACTATGTGAGTGTGCTGCTTGTGGGACTGAGTTTCTTGTGGCTCCTCGGACTGATGAAGTCTTTTGGAGGAAGGACGAAACATCTCAACAATAAAAAAAAGAAACCATCCAGATGACCTGACCTGACTTTGTTTGATTTTTTTTAACCTGGATTATTGAGCATGGACTTTGAAGTTTATGTGATTATCTTTTCCCAGACTTTCCAAATCCCCCTCATGTCTGACTTTGTCTTCATGATGCTTTCAAAGATGACAGTTAATAGTCATAATTATGGTTTAAAGACTTAAGATGGTGGCCAAGCACACAGCAGGCAGATTATCATCATTAATTTAATGAAGATAAACCAAACTGAAACTGCGTGGCACAAGAAACTAAACACGAAGGCAGACCGGGGAGGACTGAAAATGACAACGATGAACTGACAGCTGGCACGTTTCATACAGGAACAGTTTATCACTGAGTGTTTGTAGCCGTGACGATTACTGATGGATAACAGGTGCGCACGACGGGGCAAACAGGAGAAAAAAATGCAAGATGCATATTTAACCACGCCCACTCACATTAACCACACCCATTTCAAATTTCTGACCAATAACTAACTACACAAGAAAAAGTTTTGCCAAGATGCAAATAGTCACAAAGAACTCAAGACAATAAAAAAGCTGGCATTACCAAATGACTCTAATGTCTTCTTATTTCATCTATTCCCTCTTCGGGGTTCACTACAAGTCACCCTCCATCTGTCTCTGTCCTCTGCGTCCTCTGTCCTCACTCCAACTACCTCCATGTCCTCGCTAACTGCATCCCTATAGCCTGTCTTTGTCTTTTTCCTGGCAGCTGCATTTCTGACATCCTTCTACCAATATACCCACTGTCCCTCCTCTGGACATGTCCAAACCACTGTCCCTCCTCTGGACAAGTCCAAACCACTGTCCCTCCTCTGGACATGTCCAAACCACTGTCCCTCCTCTGGACAAGTCCAAACCAACTTAGTCTGGCCTCTCTAACTTTAACTCCTGTTGTTTGACCTGTTCTGTAGCTCTGATGTAGACATGTACCTTTTTGCTGCTATCTAGCTCTAACCTGTTGCGTCTTTTTGTCAGACTGTGGTAAATCAAGAGTCGCAGCAGATACGTCCGACTGTTACCTGAACTTTAACAAGTTTCGCCTTTACCTGCAGGGAGACAAAGAGTTAAGTGATAAATGTGTTAAAGCATCATCTGAATAACACGGTGAGTGGAGATGAGCTAACTTGTGTTTGTGTCGTTGGTCAGGCCGAACTGGCTGAAGAAGCTCTTCACCAACTTCATCACCTTCACCGTTAAGCTGGTGGTCAAAGGTCAGGTGAGGGAGACCGCCATGGACTGTGCTGCGTATATACTGTATGTCTTTTAATGACCTGACTCAAACAACAGATTTGTCTTGATGTGCAGATCTGTAAGGAGATCAACAAGGTGGCAGATATACTGGCTGACTTTGTTCAAGACACAGCAGGTGCGTGGGAGCTCATTGTACATTAAAGTACATAAAAAGTACTTCACTTTAATGAAAATTCTGACCAAGACTAAGAAATGAGAAAGTTTTAAATGGAAAGGAAAATACAGTTTTAATGCGGAACACAACATTTTACAGCTTCTGTATAAATTCTGCATTCAACCAAAATTTGCGAAACAAAAAAATCCCAAACTTTTTCTGTAATGAACAAAACTTTGCTTCATTAACTTGCAATAGATCCTGGTACTTTTATTCTCTTGATATATTTGGCTCCAATTAAAGTCTTTGAAACTGATTACACTAGTCCCTCATTTATTGCTGGGTTACGTTTTGGGTCCCCCCCCCCACACACACACACACACACCACCAAGCGCACGCAATAAGTGAAAATACGCAAAGCAGCGATGCTATATTTGTTTTAGTATGTATATATTAAGGCTTTAGAAACTTCCCACACTCTTGCAATATACTAAACTCTTAAACTTACATCATTTTAACAACATACGTACAGTACTATATGTAGCTACTAAATTTTACTCACCAGCTCTGCAAAATAGCAGCACCTCGGTTCCGCTCCGACTTGGTTCCGTTTTGGTGGACCTACCCTGCCAGTTCTGGTTGGCTCTCTGGCTCGGGATAGTGGCAGTGGGCTCCAGAGGGAGGGCCAGACCAATGGGTGGCGCATTCCTGCTCGGGGGTCCTCGTGGGCTGGCTAGCAGCTCTCAGGTTCACCATTGAGGCTGGTGGTCCAGTTCTGCTTCAGTTCTGGTCTGGTTCCATGCAGTCCTTGAGCGCTGAAGCACTTTTCTTTTGGCGGGTGGGGGGTGGGGACCTTCGAGTGACTGATGCAGGACCGGTGGTCCGATTGAGTAGTCCAACAGAGATGAAAAAAGTCCCAGTAGGCTCTGGAGAGAGGCCAGACCTAGGGCGGCGCGTGTCCCCTCTTGAAAGTCCTTGTGGGCCAGCTAGCAACTCTTGGATTTGCCGATAGTTCTGAAGGTCCAGTTCTGCTCCAGTTCTGGGCCGGTTCCCAGTGGGTTCTGTGCAGTTCTCTACATCCACTGGGCGCCAAAGTCGATGTAATAAGCACCAAACTTTTTCCCATCAGATCAAAACTTTCCCTCTAGTATTTCAGCAAAAGGCAACAGGACTTCTGGGTGGGGCACTGTTGGCTTCTGGGAAATGTGGTCATTATGATTTGGGATACAGTGTAGGCTTATTAAAGAAAACTACAAAATGGCGGTGCCTGTCGGAAGTATTTTATTTTTCAATAACTTTTTACTGTACATTTACTGTACATGTAATCCCGTAATGTCCAATCCCGTGAGTAATATTAAAGTTGACAATCACGTGTCGTTTACAATTTTTTTCTCATTTACAATCTTACTTTGAAAAACCGCAAAAGAGTGAGCCCACGTAAGTTGAATCGCGACGTAGCGAGGGACTACTGTATAAGGAAGTTTGTGTTTGTGTTCGCAGCGGCCTTTGTCACAGATGGGGGCATCAGAGTAGATATTGATATAAATACTGGTCCCATCATCACGTCCAGCTACATCGAGTCATACCATAAGGTACAACAAATATGTTTGTTACATATTCATCTAAAATGCAACAGTTGTGCTTTTCCTGTTGAACAATTTGGGATTTCTCATTGGTTTGTCCAAGTTGTAATACAAATATTTTTGGGGGGAGCAAAATTATGTTTTCTATTTTATTTATTTGTTTTTACAATTTTTCTCTTTCAGGGTCTGACAGACTACAACAACACGCTGTCTGTGATCAACGAGTCTGTTTTCCACCCTGATCAGCTGACCGAACACAGGATGCTGTACTTTTGGCTGTCAGGTCAGCAGGTGACATTATGCAGGCCCAGGTTTTAAAAAAAGTTTTCATGAGACCTGATAGTGCTCAAAGTACGTGTTGTAGATGACTCTCAGCTACTACCACACCAGGCTTTAGCTTAACATTTGTCAGTTTGTCTGAGTTAAAGTCATTTTTGTCTTGGCTAAGGTCATTTAGACTGAATGGAGTTGACTTCAAAAAAGTAGATGTACATCGGATGATTTTTTTTTTTCTTCTAGAAACTTGAATAAAATCAAACAAAGTTCAGTCAAGTCATCTGGATGGTTTCCTTTTTTGTTGAGATGTTTTGTCCTTCATCCAAAGGACTTCATCAGTCCAAAGAGTCACAACAAACTGAGTCCCAAAAGCAGCACACTCACACAGTGGACAAACCAGTTTTATGGTGATAAGATGGTTTCTGGGGCCTGCCGTCTCCCCCATCGACCCCTCTGAGGCAGCCATAGCCAAAGTGGTTCAAAACATCAAAGTTCAGGCTTCATCAGGACTGATGAAGTCCTTTGGATGAAGGACAAAACATCTCAACAAAAAAAGAAACCATCCAGATGACCTGACTGAACTTTGTGGGATTTTCTACCTGGATTATTGAGCATGAACTTTGATGTTCATTAAAATCTGTTTTGTGATTCAGGAGATATTTTGTTAACAGTAATGCACAGAAACAGACATGGGCAGTTACATGATCACCCATCTTTAATGGCAGCAGGTGATATTGGCAGTTTTTCTTGTAGAGTCTTGTGGTTTTCTATCATGTTGCTGCCGTTGGGCAGAAACCTTCTAACTCTAAAAACAGAATTTTACAGACATTTAAAATTATGTATTTTTTGTTGTAGTTGTTCTGTATCAACAGTTTTTTTTTAAAACCTCAAACGTTTGTAAAGGATGGTCCTGATTCATGTAAAAAAAACATGAAAATGGTGAAAAATGGAGACAGGAGGGTTTTGCTGGTTATTGCATCCTGACTGGATTTCCTTTGTGCTTCTTTGTTTCTTAATGACAAATGTTTTTGTCTCTTGGTTGATTTTCGTCTTAAATCTCAGACGACGTCTTCAAACCTCTGATTGCTGCTGCTCATCAAGATGGACGCTTGCAACTCAGCATCTCATCAGAAGAGCTCACTGTAAGAAACCCTTCAATATTTGTTTTAAAGCCATTTTCAAGACAAGAGAGTGTCCCCGAAACATTTAAGGTGACATTTAAAATCACACTTTGACAGATGCAGGAACATCTACCGTCATTTCTGTACTATTGAGCACACTCGAATATAAGCCGTGCCCCCGTAAAAGAAAAAGACAATTTTGTACATACAGGTATATAGGTCAGTGTTGCCAGATTGGGCTGTTTTCTTTCTGATTTTGCTGGAAACTCTGGGAAGATTTTTGTTGCATTGTTGTGTTTTGCCACATACAGTATTGTTAAATTACCTGGCTTGTGCTGATGTACGTTCATATTCAAACAGTAAATATACTGTAACAATACATTGATTATTTGGGCAGACTTTTGTGTGATGTGGTGGTTTTTAACAGATTTTTGGGCTGGAAAACCTCAACTTTATCTGGCAACACTGATATATGCTGCACTTTTAAGCCATGGGTGTCCACATTGTAACATGAGATATTTACACAGAAATTTTTTTAAAACTTTTAATTAAATTCGTACCAGTAACATACACAAATACATACAGTAAATGTTTTTTTTTTGTTTTTTTTTTCTGAACAGTGCCTGCAACACGGCTGGTTATTTTTAAAAAGCAGTACAGTAACCTACCAGGAAGTACATCGTCAGCACATCAAAAAAATAAATCCATAAATTAGTCGTAGCATTGTATAAGCTGCAATGTTCAAAGCATGTGAAAAAAGAAGCAGCTTATAGTCTGGAAATTATGGTAATTGGATTTAAATGATTTGTTATGGTTCCAGAAACTTTTCCAGATGAGTCTCTCCAGCGTTGTGCCTCCGCAGATTGAAAAAGTAAGAATTAAAAGCTTCACCAGAAACAAGCATCTTTGGTTTTTGTCACATTTTGGATTATTATTATTTTTTTTTTTCCTCAGTGTCTGATGGAACGAGGTTCCACAGAGCTCAGAGTTTGGAGCTCCTCTGTTCCCTTTCTGAGCACCTTCGCCACAGGAACCAGAGTCTGGGCTCAGGTTTCTGCAGAACTCTACTGTGAAAGTCAGACCACACCGACGCTCTCCTTCCAAACCGTAGGTCAACTCAAAGTAACGAAGAAGAAGCGGTGGTTGTGTCACCAAAAAACTGAAAACATGTAGAGAGTACCTCGAATAATTCATGAAAGAGACACAAATATATTGAGAAAACCATTTATTTATTTTTGAAATGACAACATTTTGACTTTACTGAGTAAAAGACTAAATCATCAATCAAATGATTTCAAAAACTTTGTTCTAAAGTTGATAGTTTCTTAGATTTTAGTTGTGAGGCAGAGGACAAACATGTACAATTCAGTGTGCTTACCAAAATAAAAGCAGATTTGATAATTAAGATATTATTTTTTTCTCCTCCGAAATCAACGTACTGATAATAAATCTGAAGTTTGTTTCTAATTCCTAGAACGTCTCCGTGGAAGTCACAGTTTCCTACGTCGACAAGAAGCTCCTCCTGCACGGTAAATCTCTGGAGTAAGACGTTTTATTCTTTATTTCACTTTAACTGTGAGTTTTTCTTATAAACAATCATTGATGTTTGAAGAACTGTGCACGCAAAGGTTGTGTCTACATGAAACTGATGTTGTAACCACATGTCTGCCAATATTTAGGTGTTTTAAAATTCACAAACAAACAAACAAAGCAGATGTTGTTGTGGTCAGTCTGCAGGTTGTTTCTACTTCATGATGTTTATGATTTTCAGGATCTTAGTGCTCCGAGCTGAGCCGCCGCCTCTAAACCAACTGGTAAATATTTACTCACCTGAACAGACCTGAACTGGTGCCCTCCTCCTCCTCCTCCTCCTCCTCCTCCTCCTCCTCCTCCTCCTCCTCCTCCTCCTCCTCCTTTTTCTTCTCTTTACTTTTTCATCTTCCTCCTACTTCTTCTTCTTCGTTTCTGCCTTCTTCTCCTCCTCTTCCTTCTTTTTCTAATTCTCCTTCTTCTTTTAATCCTCCTCCTTCTTCTCCTTCTTTTCTTCCTCTTTCTCCTTCCTTTTTGTTTTTTCTCCTCCTCCTCCTCCTCCTTTTCCTCCTTTACTTCATTCATCTTCTGCTCCTCTTCCATCTTTTTCTTTCTCCTCCTCCTTTTTCTTCTACTTACCCTCTTTTTCTTCTTATCCCCTTTCTACTCCTTCTTCTCCTCCTTTTCTGGATTTTTCTTATCCTCCACTTGCTTCTTTTTTCTCCTCCCTCTCTATTTCCCCGTTTTCTTCTACTTCTCCTTTTTCTTCTTCTCCTCCTTCTCTTTACTTGTTTGTCCTCCTCCTATTTCTTCCCTGTCTTTTCTTCCTTCTCCTCCTTTTCCTTCCTTTTGCTTCCCTTTTCTTCTCCTCCTGCTCCTTCTTCTTGTTCTCCTCCATCTTCTGTTCCTCATCATCTTTCTACTCCTCCATCTCATTATTTTCCCTCCTCCTTCTTCTCCTCTTACACTTCTTCTCTTTTTACTTCTTCTCAATTTCTTCATTCTTCCATCCTCCTCTTGCTTATTTTTTCCTCCTCATCCTCATTAGTATTATTATTACTATTATTATTAGTAGTAGTAGTAGTATTGCTATTATTATTATTATTACAATATTTATTATTATTATTACTATTATTATTATTATTAGTTGTATTAGTATTATTACTATTATTATTACCATTATTATCATTATTACTATTATTATCATTATTATTACATCAACTCATTTTTGGAACAACTGTGGTTTTACTGTTATTTTATCTCCACCACAATGATTTTGCACAACAAGAAGTCGAATATGATTCCATATTAAATAAAATAATAAAAAATATAAAATGTGTATTTTTCAGAAGTCATCTCTGAATCATTTAAAACCGTTGACTGAACATTAACAGAAACATTAGTCTCTGATAATAAATGTTTTCTCAGCTGCAGCTGGATTAAGATTAAAATAATGTGTTCTGGTTCCGCTGCGTGAATCGTTTCATTAAACTGGTTGTTGTCAGTTTTTAAAATGTTGCACAGAATCTCTCCATCTTCATTTAGACTCGTTTCTTTCTCTTCTCTCTGTTCTCTAATTAAACGTTGAGGCCCAACGAGAGTTCATCAGTGAAGCTGTGGAGAAAATCGGCATCCCTAAAGTTATGTCCGGTACGAAACATCAATCCTACATCACCCATCTATATTTATCCCTATATTTCACTTTTATTCATAATATCCCTCTTTCAGAAACACACTCCTGTCAGTCACTTCGGTACAGACTTGTTTTCCGGTTGTTTTGTTAATTACTGCTGTGTTTTTGTTGCAGTTCTTGGGACGGAGTTAACCAGGTTGTTGGACAACCAGGGAACAAACCTATTTGATATCTTCAACCCTGAAGTGCTTCACTCTGATGTAAGTGCTGCTCTCTCTTTAATCCCTCATCATGTTCTGCAGAGGAAAGTCACTTTCCTTCTTCTCGCTCGGGTCTGCAGGGCTACGTCGTGATCCAGATGGATTTTGGTTTCCCTCACCACCTTCTGGTCGACTTCCTCAAAAAGACGCTTCAGTAGCTGGTCGGCATCTTGGGTCAGAATAGTTTTATTGTTAGGAAAATAAGTTTATACACACAAAAATCAGATTTCATGTCACCTCATTATAACAACAGATTTCTAACTCTTTTGAACTGAATCTAAGAACTGAATCTTTTATAACTACACAAGACTCAGTCTGACTGCAGTCATCATCCCACTGTTTGTTTTTAAGGAAATAAAACTTTTTAAGTTTCTTAACTTGTCTGCGTGTGTGTTCAAAACTTTAACAAGAAGCTATAAAACGCATTAGGATGTAATTGTGTGTCTCTGTGTGCTTGTTTTGTTTTGTATGTTTTTTTGCAGCTAACCACCTCTGCAGACTTTATGCTATCTTAGCCGTTCATCTATCAAAACGTTCAGCTTATTCAGGAGATCGGTTGGGCGTGTTGTCACATAGGTCGGCTTACAACAAATGCTGATTGAAGAATGAGATGTTATCCCACAGCAGAATGTGACCAAACAGCAGCAAAATGAGGAGGTGTCAGACTGTTGTGGCTGTGTATGGTTCTTCCACATTCTACTGAGGTCCCCCCGTTTGTTGAATGAATAAACTATTACATGTCCATTATGTGTTCTTTCTTCAAACTTCAGTCATGCACGCAAGCCTGGAGAGAACGGATATACTGGGGCTCCAAAGTTGGGTTCGGGACCCCACAGTGGATCACAAAACACCAGGTTGAAGTCTTAAAGTATCATTTAAGGATAAATGTTGGATAATTTAATTGTCCTATCATCAACTCATTAAATAAATAAGTAAACAAGGAAACTAGAAGATATTTACAACCCAGGTTCAAAATCCTTACAAAAGGAGCAGCAATTGGAAACTGGAATACAAGATGTTCTACAACGCCCGGATCACAGGGTCTGCCTGCGGACAGCATGAAGGAGCATCAGCTCATACACTTATCAGAAAAGGCGAGGTCAACACAACTCTGCTTTCCAGCTTAGAGGCCTTGAAGTTTGTCAGGTGTGCAGGCTCCACTTTGTTCAGACAAAACAACTCTAACTCGCACACACAAGGTTCTAGAACAATAGAAAGTGAAAAACATCCATGACCTTTACATCCTCCATCAATAAACTATGCAGGACACATTACATCTTTATTATGTGTCTATTGGTTTATTTGAATGCACTGATGTTCTCACTACTTCCCTGACTGGATCGGATGTATTTGTGGTTGGCAGGATGATCTCATCCCTGATGAGATGTTTCATTTGAAAATGTCAAACATGACAATGGCGCCATCTGGTGATAAAACTGAAAAAAAAAAACTATGACAGAAAAACCTTCTGTCCCTCATTCTGGAAAGAAATTATGCATAAAAGAAACTAGAATAATGGATGTTATAAAAGTTAAACTTGCATAATGCAAGTTAAAAAGGTAACGAGGTGAAGTCAGGTCCTCAACAGATTCTTCTTTACTGAACAAAAAAGAATCCGTTCAGAGGACCTGGCTTAACCTTAATCTACCTGGATTATTGAGCATGCATCAGGACAAGTTAAAAGGGTATAAATAAATAAAAATTAACACTGTAATCTGTCTTTACATTTGCTTACTCACATACCAAGTCAGTTCAGTGAAAATATACACTTATTGCTCAAACATGATCTTTTATTCTTGTGTCAGTTTATTATGACATTTTTTTATTATTAATTTGGTCAAGTGGTCTGTTGTTTTAACTTCTGCTGTGCAACTCTACTTCTGCTTTTTAGATGTTCCCTCGTGTTCCCTCTCTGCCTCCTCTGTCCGCACTTCAACTACTGAACAATTGCAATCGTTTCATAATAATCTATTTTCTTGTTACTATTCATTTATTGGTATTTTAAAATTTTTATGTGTAGCATTAATAACAAATTAGTGATAAAATGTATGGAGTTAAAAATAACCACAGTGGAGGCGTGGAACATGGCCCACTTGGACGCAGTGTCCCTGCCTTTACTGGGATGTGGCTGAAACTCTCTCAGTGGTGGAAGTCAAAGATAATCTGGTGGGTTCTTCTGCCAGGCATTCCCAGCAAACCCTCACTGGACATTTGGGTTTATCCGCTCTGTCCAGCATATTAACCCACCATCTGATCCAACACCATATACTGTAATTAACAGATTGCTTCTTTTTTTTTTCTGCTAAAAAGATGTAGATGTCATCCAAGGTAAAATAGTAATTCTTTGTTTTGCAGACGTCTTTGTGGGGGATTGTTGTTGTTTTGGTTTTACTTTCCCGAGTTTTTATTTGTTTTTGTATTTTCAAGCTATTTGAAGGATTAAGTATTAGGTTTTCTGTGGAATTGAGCTGCTTTTACATTTATTTTTGGGTGGACATCATGTTGTACAGGCAGATTAAAGTACAAACAATAAGAAGTCATTCTTTTCTAAGGTGCTCGTTGCCCAAATCAGTTGATCATTTTAATACGTAAAATCAAACTAGTTTCTTTTCTTTTTTTTTTTTTTTTT